GAGGTAAACAAAAGGGAACAATTATTATCTTTAGTGAATTGGTGTACAGACAGAAGGTGTGAGTTAATAGTAGGTGAGTGTAATAAGTTGGGAAGGTGGAAGGTATGGTGGGAAGTGGGTAAACTACCTGAGCTTGTGTGAGTAATGGGAAAAGGGTTACCTCCTGCAGTAGTAATAATATTAGAGCCATGATACGGAGAAGCATACTATAGCCGCGATAAATCGGACGTCACATGAGTGTTTGCCCCTGTGTCCAGATGCCAATTCGAATTGGTGTCAGTAGATTGACTTGTGTAAAACGCTTGTGGAGGACCAGTATATGACTCATCAAAACGGTGCCAACAATCCCAGACCACATGTCCAGATTTTCCACAGAGTAGACACGACACCTGACCAGGCCGCGGCCCCCCCTGCCACGGTGGTCATCCCGTTGTAATCCGTTGTTGCGGGATCCTCGACCACCGTATGTACTGCCACCGCGGGGGCCATTTCGGCCACGGTAGCCACCGCGGCCCCGGCCACAAAAATTTCCCCGACCGGAGGTAGTGTAAAGGACGTTATGGACGTCCGAACTCGATGCTGAGGCCGAGTCGTTGATCTGTAATTTTTTCTCAAGAGTTACGTTGAGTTCTTCAGATAGGAGGCAGGCTGAGACTTGATTTAAATTGACATTCCCGATATTGGTGCGTATGTTCTACTTCAAGGAACTGTAATCTGCGGGCAATCCACGGAGTATGCATAGAATGACGTCTTAATCGAAGATACTCTCATGAGCGAGAGTGAGAGAGGAGACAATATTCAAAACATTGTCAAGATATGTTTGCATGGAGTCACTCCCTTTTTGTAGACTATGGAGTCGTTCCTTCAACTGAAAAATATGAGTGCGAGATAGAGAATTGTAGCGTTGTTCGAGATGAGTCCAAATTGCAGCTGAGGTCGGAAGGGTATGAATGTGTGTTTGAACGGTGGGGGAGACAACAACCAATAAGCACACACGAATCTGAGCATCGACGATCATCCACGTCTCATAAGCCGGATTAGCCTTCATAACCGGTGTATCTTCTTTGCCGGAGGTAGCGGCTTTTTCGTCAAGAAGAAGAGAGGGAGGTGCCGGTTCCGTGCCATCCACGTAACTGAGAAGACGATGAGCCATAAGATTAGCTCGAATACTTGCCGACCAGGAGGGATAGTTTGAATCATCAAGTTTTGCCGGAGTAAGAGATTGGATATTCCGGACGAACAACTTGAGACCGGTGGGGAGGTGATCCATTGGATCGGCTGAGGTAGAAGACATGATCACTGCCGAATTAAACTGCTGCGGCGGAAGGGCAGGGAGAAACCTGCCGAATTGAGCTGCTGCGGCGAAAAAGGGCATGAAGGAGCTGCTGCCGAATGGAGGTGCTCCTAGGCGCAAAATTTTTTTTCCTTCGTTAACGTACAAGACAGAAAGGTGGATCTTGGTGCTCCGATACCATGTTGAATTGTGTGAAATAATAGAATTTACTTCCAGTGGGAGATGAGGATACATGGGTGTATATATATAACTAGAGATCCTAACATGAGTAGGATTAGGACTCCTCTAAGATGACAACTAGTTGTTCTACTACAACTAGGACTACAATACTACAATAATACTATTATGTCTAACAAAGTTCAAGGATCATTCCAATGCCTTCTAAAGTTGTTTAAAATCATGGTACATACATGGAAATCAACGAGATGAAGCTCAACGGATGAACGGGAGCGAAAATAACGCCAGGAATCTTAAAATTCGTCACTTCCCATCACCACTGTACCAGCCCTGGTTTTTGGGTCATATCTCCTTCGTTACTCAAGGAAATCGCAAACCGTTTGAAGCTACGGATTCGTAAGACATAAGGCTACAACTTTTGTTTAGAAACCAGATTAAAATAATGATGTTTAGAGGGTGTAAAAATGCTCACAAGTGGGCTGATTTGCACAGGGGATGTTTTCTTCATTCAATTTTCTAGGACAACTTCCGGCAAGAACCGTGGCTACCTCCGGTGACTTTAACTGCGGCGATCACTTGCGGATTGTTCTCCATACAACAAGGAGTAGAATAGAAAAAAAAGAAGAAGTTTGGTGTAGGGATGAAGGAGGAATTGTGCTCCTTATATAGATGGGATGAAGAGGATGAAGCCAAAGGAAGGTCCTCTTCAAATCCCCAATTTATGATTTGCAGCGGCTGGGTGGGATTTGAGGTGATTTTATACGCGTCTCCTGATTGGGACTAAAATGATCCCAATCGGGGTACACTTTTTGGTCCAACTTTCTCCAAATTGAAATCCGATTGTACCGTTACGGTGAGATAGTCAAGACAATATAATTTTCACATTTTTTTGGAATACTTTTTATGACACCATATTTCTGGGTGTTGACTTTGACAGAGGCAGAATTGAACTAATTGACATATAATTAAAAGTATTCGCATATTCGATCAATATTATTCAATTTAAATAATTTATTTCAATATATCATTTTACAAAAGTTCACATCTTTAACCACTTCTCATTTTTATGAAAATGACATATTTAAAATATCACAGCTCAAAACCCGTACATTAGATTTGTTCATAAAATATACCGCTAGATTCGTCTTTTCGAGACCTATCCATAAAACTCAATTTTAACAAAAGATCATTGACTACAGAAATTTCTTCATTTTTAGTCAAACATAGAAATAATATTTTGTTGGGTCAAAATATTATTTTGAATTTTTTTTTATCATAAAATAACTTTTATAACATGTTTTGGGGCGTTACATGTTAGGACTCCCTATAATTTAAAGACATTACCAGATTATTGTCAGACTGGTCATCAGTTGTGATTTTACGAAGGCCTCATCATATTTGAATTGATAATAGAGCCACACATGCCAAAGAGATTTGCCCGGCAATTCGGCATGATGATACAGACTCCAAATCTTTCATTCCCATATGTTGAAGCACTACATCGGGCAGATGAGCGCAATACTTTGTGAGATGCTTTTATTACGATGTATAATGAGTGGCATAATAATCAGTTTAACCATTTAGTGGAAGATAAAATGGAGCCACTTCCTCAAGACTATGTAGGAGAGGGTTGTGTAGAGAACTAAACGGATTGGTTTTATTATTATGGTCGTCGGCACATACGCAATCCAACACACCACCTAGCGATTGGTGTGGATGGCTCAGCGGGTGCATTAGCAATAACAGTAAGACACATTACATTTCTATCACTTAAAATACTATTGTACATACTAATATGTTTTTATTTTATCTTTAGTTAGGTAAGCGCATTGCGACACGTGAGGGATACTGTGTTACACGTGCCAGCATTTGAGATAGAACAAGTTGCGGCGGAAGCCTTAGTGAATATTGAGCGTCACGATAGGATTGCAGAGTACGTCCTGCCAATTATACCAACCCCCCATCATACAAGAACATGGAGGCGAGCAGCCTAGAAGCAGTTCCACACACGTACATGCAGAGAGCTTGAGCCATGCAGAGGAGATGAACACTTTCGTCGGTGTAGGTATGCAACATAACCTTTTTGGGTCGCAATTTGGCGACCCAAGTGAAATGCTGGATTGTAGCACCCTAATTCGTCCAGGTCTGCAACCCCTTTCGGACTTAAGTATAAAATTGGTAATCGTAAAATTTAAAACATTTCAAACAATTTTATTTATCACAATAATATTTTTATAACATAAACAATATGGAGTTTTCAATATTCATTATTTCAATAGTACTCTTAAATTATTTTTAATCTAAGGCCAAATGGTGACAACGCTCTTAAACTATTCTTAGTCTAAGACCAAATCATAACAACGCTCTTAGCTATTCTTAGTCTAAGGCAAAATCATAACATTGATTTTAGCTATTCTTAGTCTAAGGCCAAATCCATATCTTCATAACTAGACTCTTAAACTATGGCTAGTTTAAGGCTATTTCATATTGTTAACCAGACTCTTAAACTATGGTTAGTTTAAGACTATTTTATTTGAATAACCAGACTCTTAAAATGTGGTTAATTTAAGGCAAATGATAATCGGACTCTTAAACTGAAATTAGTATAAGACAATTATTCCTAGACTTTTAAACTGTAGTCAGCTTAAGGCAACAACAGAACAACAACTAATCATCGTCGGGTCGGGTGGTATTGGGATTGATTAATTTAATGAATTAATTACTAACTCGGACTGGAGGCGGGAAAATAAAATCCTTAGCAAAATTATTTGATCATGTCATAATATTCGTTTTGACTGTCTGATTCCAGAAATGCAACCAGATCGCAATTCGGACCCGTTCGGGGGAAAATGCGTACCGTTTAGGTCAGATTTTACATAACGGAATGAATTAATGGGAGATAACTCCCCAATTACACCCATACGCCACCCCATCCCCCTTAACTCACCATCATCACTCACATTTATTCCCCATTCATTTCCCTTGAAACCCCACTCTCCTTTTCATTTTCCCTCACCCATTTGTAACTCCCAATCATTACTCTAACTCTCTCCTCCTCTTCCCTTTGTGCATTTCGGCCAGACCACAGTAGCTCCAGGACGATTTCCAGTGAGAAGGAGAAGAAGAAGGAGGAAGAGAAGAAGGCCTACGCGTGAGGTCGTTCGTTTTCCGTTCGTTAGCGCTGTTTGTTCATTGCATTTCGTCGTTCCGTCAACCCCTTCGTTAGAGGTGAGTACATTGCCCTCTAACGTTAGAATTTGTAGTTCAATCATATCGTTATATTCATAGGATTACCCGGCTAAACATATGTGTGTCCGCTTTGTCATGGTTATACGCTATCTAGATCTTTCAATGATGAACATGTTAATAAAACATTCGATAATCCATAATTTCATAGCTTATTCAAAGTGAAAATAATAACGTTCATCCCGATAACTTCCGACGTAAAGACTATATCCAAACTGGCTAAAAGTGGAGCTACGAGCCATGATAATTGATTTATAGAGCTGGACAATCGATTACCAGGCTGCGCTAAACTTCTCGTTAGAATCAGCAGAGCGTGACAATCGATTATCACCTATGTGATAATCGACTATCAGGCCCTGCAGATTCTCAAGTATGGGCTGGTTTTACCGATAATCGATTATCACATAGCTATAATCGATTATCCGGCCTCTCTGAACTTGGGTGTCCTGAACAAAATACCTTGACAATCGATTGTCACGAAGTGACAATCGACTATCATGGCCTGCAGAACTTGGGAACAGAAACTGCACAGCATGATAATCGATTATCAAACAGTGGTTAATCGATTATTAGCCAGTTCTGAACCCAGGTCCGTCATGTTGAACAAGTTGTTTTCATACGGAATCAAACATATTTGTGTGCGTTGAACGTAACTTCATTCTCCAATCAATGCATTCATATCATCATGTATATCCTAGACGCATGTTTAGGATCATGGCATACTTTGCATACCACGGCAAGGGGTCAGGCCTAGTGCACCTCTTCCGTGGGCCCGTCCAGGAACCTGCGGGATCCTATGGGTTTTTATCACGAGGGCTTGTGTACGTACATGGTAGCTAGGCTTAGCTATCACCCACATTCTAGTCTCCATCGGGATGACTAAGGCGTTCCTCGGCTCATCTACCGCGTGGGGATGATCACCGAAGGGCAGGGGGTCCCTGCGCAGTCTAACTCATGCATCATGTTTATTTGGAATTTTATCATTGTTAATTGTACACTCTTATTCGTTAAACTCGTACAGGTGCGATTATGTTTATATCAATGTGAATGTACTACGCGTTCTACTGTTAGATTACCACTCAGCTTTTGCTGAACCTATAGCGTTGTTTTCCTTTGCTATACGCAGGCAGGCCAGAGGACCATGGAGCCTGACCCAGATGACTGGGTGATAGGAGTTGCGGATGAACGACAGTGCGGGCCGGATGAATTACTTATTTAATTATGAAAACGTTTAGGGCATGAAGCCACCTTTGTCGCACTTACGTTATTTATAACTTAATGGTTTTAATTACATTTACTTCCGCTATAAACATTTCTGTAAGTGAATTCATTTTCATCGTTTAATAAAATATATTAAGGGTTTTCAGTTACAAGCAACGCAAGGAGTTTTCTTGTGGACGGACCTAAAAACCGTCTACGTGACCTCTCCGGCTCGTTGGACCACGGTGAACCGGGTTCGCGGGACGGAGGGTGTTACATTTTGGTATCAGAGAAATACGGTTCTAAAAATGATTTTTGAAACACGTTTTGAAAACATTTTCTCCAGGACCCACTGTCGCATCCCGCTCCGTATCTCCACCGAGAAAGGTAACCATTATCATTAAGGTATTATTATTATTATTATTGCTTAACCCGTATAGGAAATCTCCTTTCAGAAAGGAGATGAGTCAGGCTCCCGAACACGGACAAGCTGGTCCAATGGGGGAGCAGGAGCACGTGAGCGTGCATACCGAGGCGTCTAGCTTCACCCCGCAACAGGAGGTACCAGAGCCGCAAGTTCTGCAACCGAGTGCTGTGCCACAGGCTATTCCTTTCCTTCAGCCACAGCTGGTGGCCAACATGCTCCAGTTCCTCCAGCAGATGGCTGGGGCGTACGTACCACCGCCGCAATCGCCGCCTCCAGTGGTTATGGTTACTACCGAGAAGTTGAAGAAGAACGAGGCCGAGGAGTTCCGTGGCGACCAGATCGCCGATCCCATAGTTGCTAAGCGCTGGCTCGAGCGCACAGGTCGAGTTCTCGGAACCCTACGGGTTCCAATGGAGCAGAGAGGCGACTTAGCCATCGCCTTACTTCAGGATGCCACCTACGACTGGTGGTAGCGCGTGGGAGCGAACGTCCCGGAGCTGGTGCCGTGGGCAACCTTTGATGAGCTCTTCCGTGAGGAGTACGTGCCTGAGCACTTCATGGAGGAGAAGCGCGATGAATTTATGAAGTTCACCCAGGGTGAACTAACGCTACCAGAGTACCGCCAGAAGTTTGATGAGCTAGCCAAGTTTGGCCAGGATTTGGTGCCGACGATGGAGAAGCGGTGCAAGCGCTTCAGGGAGGGGTTACGTCCAGACTTGTCCTCCGGGTTGGTTTCAGCGCCTAGGAACGACATCAACGACCTGTACAAGCAGGCGTTGGAGCTATAGACGGCCTTACTTAGGAAGGCCGAATATGAGCAAGCCCAGACGACGCATCCTCGTCTGCCACCGCCACCCAGACCCAGCTCGAGCGGCAAGAGGCCTCCTCCTGTACCGAGCAGCTCGCACATGAGCAAAAAGGTTAGGTCTACACCAGCTGCGTCGTCAGCACCCACTCAGAAGAGTGGGAGGAGCTAGAGTCAGAGAGGATATCGGAACCTGACTTGCAACCTCTGTGGCCGGAGGCATTCCGGCGAGTGCTGGTTCACTCAGGGCCTATTCTAGCAGCCCAGCTCGCACCGAGTCAGAAGTCGGTAGCGGCATCTAGCCAACCGAAGAGGCCGGCACAGAGCGCTCAGTCCGGGAAGATTCAGCCCGTACTTATGCGATGCATGGACGCACTGAGCAGCCCGCCCATGATGTGATTATGGGTATGTTCACCTTATTCGATACATCCATATCTGCTTTGATTGGCCCAGGTTCCACATTGTCATATCTGTGTACATCTATGCCCGTATCGTTTAATATTCCGAGAGAGAACCTGGAGAATCCAGTGATTGTGTCCAATCCGTTGGGACACAGTCTATGTCTCAAATATATCTATTCAATTCCGGTGAGGATTTGAGTGTTTTCCTCATTCAAATAAATGTCCACCCCGTTGAAGTTAGAGATCAATGCTCCGTCCTCATCCTTTTTCAAGTTCGAGTAGAAAGCTCGAACAAGAAAGGGTTGATAATGAGCCTTCTTGATGTAGAGGAGGTCGAGGAAGTTTCCACGTTCGAGGATAACCCGTGCCTCATGTGGAATGGAGTCATGAATGAAGCGGGCGGTGGAGAATCGGGGAGGGAGAATTTTCTTGGTGCTCAAACTTCTCCGAGAACCGCGTCGCCTCTGCGCGGTCGTTGAACCATAAGAAAGATCCGTCGAGGTATTGGTGCGCCGGTGGTGGAGGAGGAGTCGAGGAGGAAGCAACGTTCTTCCCGGTGCGAGATCATTTTCTTTGACCTCCTGCCATTTCAACAAAAGTAGAGAGGGAGAAGAGAAAAATTGCAGAAAATTTGGCTAAGAGTTGAAGAGCAATAGCAAGAAGTGAAGAAATATGATGAATATTTGAGAGAGGATGATTGGAATGAGTAAAGAATGAAGGGATATCACCAATTTATAGTTTAGAGGGCTGGAGATCCGTTGGGGAGTTCAAAAGGTGATTTAAATGCATTTCCAACGTCTCTATAACGGTTAGATTTTTGAAAAATCGCCGTTGATAATCGATTTACACTCCCTGTAAGTCGTTTATCTGAGTCTTCAGATTCTCCGCCAAAGAAACTGCAGGCTTAAATAATCGATTTCTGCCTGGTTGTAAATCGATTGTTAGAGTTTGCGCCTGAGTTGCCTTTAACTTCTGCAAGCTTAAATAATCGATTATCTTATAGGTTATAATCGATTGTTGCTGGTTTGCGCCTGACTTTTGAGAAGGTTCTGCAGCCCCTGATAATCGATTATCTTAATGCTGATAATCGATTGTTGGTTCCTTCAGTTTCTTTGCTCCAACTTCTGCGGGCTGTGATAGTCGATTATCACAAGCCTATCAATCGATTTACACCAAGCCTGGTAAAAAAATCGATTTACTTTGTTCCCCCTAACTTTGACACCTACAATGAGAACATTTGGTACCCGTTTGGTCTTTTGGGTCCTTGAGAATTAGTAACACGACTTTTTAAACTAATAAACACACGCACCCATAGTTACATACACATGGTACGCAAACACACACACATGTACCAACATGCGTGTTTAAGTGTTACCTTGGCCAACTCGTCGTTTTGCAGTTGGCGGGTTCTAGTCTACTCGAACCGAATGTCTATACCTCGGTTTGATTTGTGTGGGTTCTGGAAGTGGTATGTGAATCTTCTTCTTTTCATCATAATAGAAGAAGTAATATGGTTTCTTTTGCGTTGATTCCTGCAGGGATTGGTTAGAGCTCGAATATCCTTTTTCAAAGGATTTCATTAGGTTAGTTCCATGCAAAGTGTGTGTTTTGTTATACGTGCAATGCCTATGCCTACTAAAACACACGGGTGCTATATGACCTATCCTATTGCAATAATGACAAATAACATTTGGATTATGCATTCTCCAAGGTTGATAATAGTTGCTAGGTTTACTAACTTGACCATTGTTCATCTTAGTGTTCTTTCTAGGTGGTCTTGTGTTCCTAATTGTTCCAGGTTGTCTATTTTCTTGATTTTCATTATTCCTAAGTTGAGCTTTAGGTTTCCTAGATGGTTGCTCAGCTTTTTTCTTATTATTAGTTTCATTTTCAAAACCTAAGCCATGTTTAGTAAGTTGCAAATTGTCAAGAACATCATTAAGGATTTTATGAGAAACACCAAACTTCTTCAAAGTTCCTTCAAGTTTTGCAACTTGTTCCTTAAGTGATATACAAGAACTACATTTTGAACTTTCCGGTTTGTCGGCGCTTCTTTTTCCGAAAAACTTATTTTCTTCTTTAAGTTTTTCATTATCTTTTGATAGTTTATCAACTTCCTTCTCCATGGAAGTAAGTTTTTTCTTCAAATCCTTGTTAATTTTAGAAGCGTTGACATATTCATCATAAAGTTCATTAAAGGCTTCTTGTACATCGTCAAAAGTATAGGAATCTTTAGAAGTGGTACATACCTCTTCCGGTGGTTCCTCGTGTGCGATGAGGCAAAGGTTTGCGCTTTCATTTTCTTTGCCTTCCGATGACTCGTCGCCGGAATCACCTCCCCATGAGATGTAGGCTCGGTATTTCTTGAACATTTTCTTCTTGTTCTTGGCGTTTGGACATTTTGGCTTTATATGCCCAACTTCTCCACACCCGTAGCATTTGGATGGACCTCCTTCCTTCTTTCCTTTCCGTTCATACTCTTGGCTCATGAACTTATGGAATTTCTTGAGCACGATCCCGAACTCGTCTTCGTCACTCGAGTCCTCCATAGCACGTTCTTGGCTTGCAGATGCCTTGAGGGCAATCCCATTCTTCTTTTGTTCACCTAGAGAGGGATAAAGAATGGTAGACTCATAGGTTTTGAGATTACCTCTAAGTCCGTCAATGGTGACGTTGGTGATGCCGATGGATTCTTGAATGGCATCGGCTTTGGATTGCCACTCTGGTGTGAGACTTCGCAGGATTTTTCTCACAAGCTCCTTGTCCGTGTACGTCTTCTTGAGAGCATGGAGATCATTAACGATTTTGGAGAATCGTTCAAACATCTCATCGATTTTCTCATTCTCCTTCATACGAAACAATTCATATTCATGGGTTAGAAAATCTATCTTAGCTTCTCGGACTTGATTCGTACCTTCATATGT